CACACACACACACACACACACACACACACACACACACACACACACACTGCCCTCTTCCTCCAGCCCAGCGGCACCAACCTCAGATGGACCCCCAGTGCTTCCTCCCAAAAACCCTCTCCCCGAAACCTGACCCTTTCCCAGCCAAAGGTTCTCTGAAGTTTCCCCAGCTCCTCTGCTAAAAGGCTCCTTACAGCCCAGAGAGGGAGAGACAGCAGCCTGGGGTCACACAGAAAATCAATCTGTGGGGTTGGGGTGGTGTCAGGAATGCAGCAAGGGGCCAGCATGAGCACAAGGAGAACAGTAGAGGGGGGCGCTGCAGCTGACCCTCCCCCAGGCGGCTCCCCACCCCCAGCTCCGAGCCCATCTGGACCAGAGCAGGAGCATCCTCAATCCTGCCGTCTCCATAGGAACCAAGGCCTCAGCCACCCACCAGCCCACCCACCCCCATCAGGCCTGCGGGGGCTGAGAACCATCCCTCGGCCTGCGGGGGTGGGAGCCAAGTGGGGCTCATTCTGATGTCCCCCTGCAAGACTCACAGACACCCCAAACATCCTCACACCCTCACATGTGTCCACACTGGCACCTGTATGCCCAAATCAGCAGGCATTGGTGTTCACATGCATGTCCAGGGCAGCCATGTACACGTGCATGTACACGCACACTACACTGGTACACACACATGAGCCTGTGCCCTGCACACCCCCGAGGACATATGCACGTGGTCATAGGCGCTCACACTAGCCCCGCAACATCCCCACCCCCTGCAACTCACAAGCAGGCCCAGCTGGGCGGGCACACACACAGACACACACGCATGCGCCCACGCACACACACAACCCCAGTGCCCGCAGCACCCGGCAGGCCCGGAACCAGCCAGTCCAGCCAACCGTGAGATGCCCGCCCCCAGGGAGGCCACTGTGGGAGGCACAGGCTGGCAGCGCTGAGTCAGCCCCAGGGAGCCAGCAGGGACAGCATCAGGTCCAGAGGGGGAGGACATCCAGCCAGCTGCTGGGGCAGGTCGGGGAGATGAGCTGGCAATCCCAGTTGTGCACAAAGCACCCACCACCAGACCCGAGAGTCCCCCTAAGCACTCCTTTTTTGGTTTTTAGGTGGAGTTTTGCTCTTGTTGCCCAGGCTGGAGTGCAGTGGTGCAATCTCAGCTCACCACAACCTCCCTGTCCCAGGTTTGATTCTGCAGCCTCGGCCTCCCAAGTAGCTGGGATTACAGGCATGTGCCACCATGCCCGGATAATTTTGTATTCTTAGTAGAGACGGGGTTTCACTATGTTGGTCAGGCTGGTCTCAAACTCCGGACCTCAGGTAATCCGCTCACCTCAGCCTCCCCCAGTGCTGGGGTGACAGGCTGAGCCACAGCGCCCAGCCAGCACTCCTTTAAATGTGAATTCTTGGTCCCAGATTCCCCAGGTCTAGAAAGAGACCCCTCCCTTCCTCCTCTCGCCCCAGGCCTGGTATGGCCACCCCTTACCTGGCCACCACCTCATCGTCCACTTTCACCAGGCAGTAGGGGTCGCTGCTCCCAGACCTGCAGAAGGAGGGGATTGGGGAGGAAGTGGGTGGGGAGGGCAGCCATGAGTGGAGGGTACCAGTCATTACACAGGCAGGGGAGATGGAGGCACAGGCAGAGAAGGGGACTTGCCCAGGGTCGCACAGCAAGTCCGGCTAAGAGGCAGAACCTCAGGGAACCAGCAGGAGATGTCACAGCTGCCCAGGCCACCACATCTGTGCACTCTGGGCTTCCACTGATAGAAATACAACAGGGAGGCCTAGGGCCAGGAGGTTCAGAGTCCTGGCCCCAAAAAGCCCAATGCAGAGGCCCAGAGCGTATGCCAGGGGCTCTTGAACACGTGGCTTCACCACCCTCTGGCTCTGCCATTCGGCGGGTCCCCTTCCCTCTGTGGGCCTCAGTTTCTCTGCTCTAAAAATCAGGCGAGATGTTCACACACACCTCCTAGGGGGCTGAAGAAACTCGAATGCTGGGCCGGATCACAGGCCAGCCCCCAGCTCTCCCCTGCGGGGCCTTAATGCTGTTTCCCCAGCTTTTCCTTCCAATGGGAGCTTCCCTGGGGAGGGGACTTCCTACAGGCACAGACCAGGGCACCCAGGCCTCAAAATCAACTCTCAAAATCTCTTAAGATGTGCTGAACCCCTTGAGTAGCTCTGAGTCATCGACCCATCCATGCCAGCCCCCCTTCATAATAACAGTCACCAGCAAATCCTAAGCTGTCTAGCAGGCCCCTCACTTCCTCCTCCGTCCCATCACACAGGACTCCTTTGTCTTTCTTCAGGCCCCGGGCCAGCCTCAGGGCCTTTGCACCTGCTATTCCCTCTACCTAAAACACTTTGGCCCTGATACTGCCATGGATGATTCCTTCCTGCCATTCAAGTCTCAGTCCAAAGTCACCTCCTCGAGAGCCTGTCCCTGGCCACCACTGTCCTGTCTAAAATGACCTCCACCTAAAATCATCTTCTTTCTTCTGTTATCTTTCTTTTTTTTTTTTTTTTTTTTCTTTTTGAGACAGTCTCGCTCTCTGTCACCCAGCTTGGAGTGCAGTGGCACCATCTTGGTTGACTGCAACCTCCGCCTCCCAAGTTCAAGCGATTCTTATGTCTCAGCCTCCCAAGTAGCTGCGATTACAGGCACGCACCAGCACGCCTGGCTAATTTTTTGTATTTTTAGTAGAGGCGAGGTTTCACCCTGCTGGACAGGCTGGTCTCAAACTCCTGGCCTCCAGTGATCCACCCACCTTGACCTCCCAAAGTGCTGGGATTACAGGTGTGAGCCACCATGCCCAGCCTCCCTTATTTCTCCATGTATTTAGTGTCTGTCTCGCCACCTCCCTGACACTTCCAAACTGTGAACTCCCTGGGGAGAGTCTGTGTCCCCTCTTCCCTACCCCCCAACCCAAATCTGGCATGCATTGGGCCCTCCAGAGCTATTTCTGAAGGACTGGATTTGTGGAGAGCCTTCTCTGGAGGCAGGGAGTAACAGCGGAGATAGGACTGGAGCCCAGGTTTGTGGGCTCACACCCGCATTCTTAACCAAGGACCCCTCTACCCCTCAAAATGGCCCTCTCCCTCCATGCCCCAGCACCACTCCCTGCATCTCTGCCACCTTCTGTGTCCAGTTTGTCACAGATCCACAAATGCCTCAGGGATTCCGGGAAAGAGGGACGTGGGCACGAAGATTTGGCTCCAGCCTGAGCCTGTCTTGCTGGATGACCCTTCCCTGTGCCTTGGTTTCCCTCTCTGGAGTCCTTCCCTTAGCCCCCTCTGGCTGGATGCTCCAATACCTCCACTTCCCTACCTGGCTTCTATCCCTGAACACTTTAGATGGGTGATGGCCAGTGTCTTCATGCTCCTCTGTGGGTCCTACCTCTGAATCCCCTTCTGCAGAGTGCCCCAGGCCTCAGTTTCCCCTTCTGGCTCCATCCCAAATCCATTGGACTCAGTAACCCAAGGAGTCTCAGTTTCCCCATCTTGGCTCTACCTTCAGACATCTGCAGCTGGGCAATGCCTTGTGTCTCAGTTTTCCTCCCTAGGTTCCACTCCTAAGCTCCCTTTATGCAGGCTCCCATTCCTCAGTTTCCCCAGCTACAGATGTGGGGTCAGATGGGCTGGGATCCCGTTAGCAGAAGGCTGGGAGACACACCCCCTCCTGCAGACCCAGCCTGACCTGCAGGCCCTCCTGGGAGCCAAGCTCAGCACTAGTCAGCTGCAGGGCTCTGACGCACGAGGGCCTTATCAGGCTCCTATCAGGGAGGGCAACGGCGGTGGGAGCGAGTGGCCCCTTCCAAACCCCTGATCTCTCCAGACTCATGGCCTCTCCCACGGCCCCTGCTTCAGCTCAGGCTTGGGAAAGCAGGCCTCTCAGCCATCGCCGGCCCAGTCTGGTTCGGACATGGAGTAGTCAGAGTTCAAATCCCAGCTGGGTGACCTTAGGCAAGTGGCTTTGCCTCTCTGGTCCTCAGTTTTCCCGTTAGTAAAATAAGAGATGCCAATAGGACCATGTGAAGTGTTAAGCACAGGACCTGGTCCACACTAAGCCCTCAGGGACTGGTGGCTATTATTTATAATATAATAACTCTAAAATCGCTTGCAGGGGCCGCCTCTCGGATACCCTCAAACCTGACAATGCTTTGGGCAGTCTGGGCCCTTTCCCTTAGGAGAAGAGGGAATGAACACGCCCCACATAAGAGCTGCCACAGCATGGAGCTCCCAGCAGGCTCCAGGAAGAGCCCCTTTGAAGAAGGGTGCTCACAGCTAGGAAACCGCCCCCCAGCCAGGGCTTAGTGACTCCTCCCCACCCTTGCTCTAGGGCATGACCTATTTCACAGCTCACTAGCCCAGGAACTGGGGGCAGGAGAGGCGGCCAGGAACTACAGGAACCAGGCATGACTCAAGTTTCTCCTCCAGAGAAGCAGCAGGTTACTGTGAGCAGGGTCCAAGTGCAGGGGGGACACCCATCGCCCCCTCATGACCTCCCACCCAGGACTGGTGGAGGGGCCAGAGCTCAGTGAGTGAGAACCCCGTTTCTGGAAAGGACTCCTTCCACTGCCCAGCAGCTGCCAGGCCCCCAGCCCGGCTTCAACGCCCTGACTGTGTAGGCTGTCTATTCCCAGGGGCTCTGAGGGGACAGCTCAGAAAGATGCTGGCTGGGGACTTGTCCAGTCACTGAGCCGACACAGCACACCCTCTGCTAGTTCAGGGCACGTTTATTTGGTGTACCTGATGAGGATGAGGGGTGGCAAAAACTGCTCTCAACAGCTGCCCCCTTGACACAGCTGCAGTGTTGGGAGGCTGGGAGCGTCATGAACTCAGGCAGGAGAGTCCTCTCTGGGAGCCCACAGCTTGGAGAATCGCGCAGCGCTAAGACCAAACCTCGACACAGGCAAAGGCTCGAAATCCATGTTCCTGCTCACCTGGGCCACACAGGAACTCCTAACAGGTCCTCTACCCTCCCAGCCGGATGGGAGACCCCAGGCATCCAGACGGGTACTCCAGTCCAGAGCTCCCATTGCCCAAATGGGAAACCAAGGCCCAGAGAGAAGCAGGTTCAATGTCACACAGCAAATGTCCCCCCGAGGATCCCACACCTGTCACAGGTGCTGAGGCCCTCAGCGCCCCTTCTGGGCACTAGGCCAAGCAGGAGTGGGAACTCCCCCCCATTCTGCTGATTCAGCAGCTGCTGACTCAACCTTGGAGGAAGAAGCATAGCTTGGGACTGGCAGTGAGGGGAGCCGTAGGGTCCCCCAGTCCCATCGCACCTGACTGGGGAAGGGGCTGCAGTGGGGAATTGGCCTCTTCAAGCAGCTCAGCACCCAGGAAAGCCCACACAAGGCTGGGAGCCACAAGACTGGAGAGCTCGGGGCTAGGGGTCAAGAGGACCCTGGAGGGTCACCTGGTGACACGCTGCAAACCTAAACACCAGATGCACACACGGTGTGGGGCCCATCTGATCCCAGGCCTTCCAAGGGTCCTCCCCAGGGTTCCCTTGCTAGGCCCCCACCCAGGCCTGGAGAAGCCACCTCCAACACCTGCCTGGACTAAGGAAGAGATCCCCCGCTTTGTCCCCTCCCAGATCTGACAGAATCTGGCCCTCTAATCCCCTCTTCAGCTCTGGAAGACCACCTGCACGTACATCCCGGGAACAAAGACAGCTCCTCCCCTGCCCCGGGGTGGGGCGGGGCAGGGCATCTGCTAAGTCTGGGCGCCCGCCTCCCACTGGGACAGCCATGGGCATGGCCTCTCGCCCCTTTAAAGCAGACTTGCCCCAATACCAGTCTTAGACAAGAACCCCTCGCCCTCCTGCCAACCCGCCCTGGCACGTGGAAAGGGCGACCCTAGCCCCACCCCAGGCCTGGCGCGCCCCTTAACCCAAAGCGCCCTAGGAGTACTCACACGTCCTTGGCGGGCAGCGCCCGGCCCTCCACCACGCGGACATTCAGGGAGCTGGTCTTGGCCATGGCGCCTAGCCTCAAACTTTCCGGGCAGGAGGGGCGCTCGGGTTCCGAGGCTGGACCAGGGGACGTCTACATGTCACCTGCTTCAAGCCTGGCGCCCTGCCTTGGGGTCCCGGCACCGCCTGTCCGAGACCGGGGTAGCTGGGACGGGAGGTTTCCGAAGGAGGAGACGGTGTAGGTGCCCTGGGAGGGAGCGCCCGTCCGGACTCTACAGGTAGAAGCGGTGCTCCGAGCAGAAAGCGCGCAGGGGCGCAGCGGGCTCTTGCCTAGGCGTCTGGAGCTCCAGGAAAGCGGTCTGGGCGGGCAGGGGGCGGGAGGGGTGGCCTAGGGACCTCCCCCCAATCCCGCCTCCCGTGGGGTCCCCCACCTGACCCCGGGCCCCCTCGCGCGCCCTCTGCCGGCACCCCAGTAAGACGCGCCAGAGCGCCCGGGCGGCGGAGACCAGGGTGCGCCCAGGCTGGCACCGCCAGGTGGGGAGGGGCCCCCGTCCTGATGGGCGTGGCCGCTGTCTCCTGGTGAGTTGGCAATGGGCTCAAAAGACGCTGTCGGTCCCCCTCCTGTCCCTCATCCGACACAATTCACACCTCTCCGCCTCCGCCCCTCCTTGCCTACCAAGCAGATACCGGCCTCCTCTCTCCAACCTCCGCGCCCCATGTTCAGGAGCAAGTATTAGCGGTGGGCGGGAGGCGTCGCCACAGAGAGGGTCGCAAATTCCCTGGGGGTCCGTTCAGAGTCAAGGGAGGGGCCTCGAACATCCCCTTCCATCTCCTTTTAGTTTCCAGTTAAACACAGAACCCAGACTCTGCTCTAACGTCACGGGCTGGCACTGCGGGGGAGGAAGCCGCGGCCGGATGGGGGAGGGGAAGGCTTGAAGATAATCACTACAGCGATGATAAAAAGTCATCCACAGTTGTTTGAACACTTCATGGGTGCCAGGCACTGTTCTAAGCGCTTTACTGGGATTAGCTCATTTTTGTCTTCACAGATGTGCACTACACACTGCTGCACTATTGCCCCATTACCTGCAGCTTATGGATAAAGAAACAGGTTCAGAGGGGTTAGATAACTTGGCGGAGGTCTCACAGTCAGTAACTGAATTGCCTTCCGGGGTTCGAATCCTGGCTCTGACATTTGGTAGCTGTGTGGACTTGGGTAAGTCACTCAACCTCTCTGTGCTTTGGTTTGGTCTTCTCATCTGTTGAGTGAGGATGATATCACATTTCAGTCACAGGATTTTGAGAGAATTAAATGAGTTAATGAAGATAAAAGTCTCGGGACAGTGACAGGCACCTAACACACATCCAGAAAGTGATATTCTGATTGTTGTCCTTTGAGGTGTGGCCTGCGCGTCACCTCTGCTGGGAAGGCTTCCAGGATGCTCTTCCACTCCAGGCAGAGATTTTCTTTACTTTTTCTCTGCTCCGGTGGCTCCAGGTTTGTACATTTTCTGGTTTTAAATGAGATAGTGTGACAGGCAGGGAGGGCCAGTCCCCAGGCGGACCCACACGCACTTATTTCTCCCTTTGAGTTCATTGTTGACCCGCCCAAAGCTCTTAGAAAGGCCGGGCACCAAAGGGAGTGCCCTGCAGATTGAGTGCAGGCACCAACGCCCAGACCGGCGGGACCAGGAGTGCCCTGCCCGGCTCTGCCAGCAGCCCAATGGTCTGCTTCCCAGTCTCCCTCCTTGACTCCCACACAGGCTGATGAGGAACTCAGAGCCCTGGAATTCCTTCCCGGGCTGGTGGCTGCCTAGTGAGTCTCTGACCCACCAGAGACTGGGCCTCAGTTTACCCCATCTGGGAAATGGATTTAGCAGAACAGGCTCTAAGGCTTAAAAGTATTGCAACATCCTCAGAAGGGTATGAGGCATGACCCAGCATTAGATCCAGAACAGTCGTAGCCCCAAAGGAGTCGTTAAATCCCCACTCCCACTGTGATTTTTATTTTTTTTGAACCCGGCTGGAGTGCAATGGCTCAATCTCAGCTCACTGCAACCTCCACCTCCTGGATCCAAGCGATTCTCCTGCTTCAGCCTCTCGAGTAGCTGGGATTACAGGTGCCCACCACCAAGCCTGGCTATTTTTTGTATTTTAAGTAGAGACAGGGTTTCACCATGTTAGTCAGGCTGGTCTTGAACTCCTGACCTCCAGCGATCCACCTACCTGAGCCTCCCAAAGTGCTGGGATTACAGGTGTGAGCCACAGTGCCCCACCCACTGTGATCTTTATCAGTTACCTCAGATCCTCCCCAAAGAAAATGTGCCACCTAAGGTAGTGGGTGGAATGGTACTTATGGTATTTGCTATGTAACTGCTGCTTTAAGGCAGGAATCTTCCCCTCCCTCCTCCATCCCCCCAACACACAGTGGGTGGAAACTACTGGTTGAAGGGCCTTTTCCTTCTGTGAGCCTGCAGAGCCCTCAGACAGGCCCCCAGACCCCCAGGACCCCTGTGGGAACCCCCTGATGATGGAACCTGAGGGGCCTGGTCCTAGAACCCCCATGGGATGCCCGCTAAATTACCACGAAGCCATCTTGGCCCATCTTCCAGAGCTAAGCAGGAAGTCATATACCCAAACACCCCTCCCCAGCCCCCCAGGGGAAAATACCAAGGATACAGACTGTGCCACCTGGGCCTCCAGCAAGCCAGCTCTGTCTCCTGGCCAATATCTGGAGTGTGACCCCACGATTTGCCTGGGGCAATGGCCACACTCCCCAAACTTTCCACATGGCTGGGCCACTTCCTGTTGTTCTGAAAAGCTGTGACCTGAAACTAGCAGGGAGTTAGAGGTTGCCTAGGGCAGCCCCTGTCAAGGGACCGAAGGGGGAAAGGCAGACCAGAGAGTGTGTGTGACCTCCAGGGGACCATCCAGGTAGGTGAGGGAGAAAGCAGGCTCATGGGTCTCCCAGGGCATTACGAGAGTTCATCTCGAGGGCAGTGTAAGGGACTTAGCATCATGCCATCACTCCCGGCACATAGTAGGCGCTCAAGAAATGGCCAAATCCCAACCTCAAGTTCCTTTAAGCCAAATTTATAATCATCTTCTTGCCGTCTCCCTCCATAGTCTAACACCCATGGGATACACACAGCAGGTGCTTCATAAAGACTTCAGTGGGAAGAAATGCTAAGCCCAGGATTTAGCAGAAGAGGGTTTAGCATCAGGCTGACCTGGGATCAAACCCTGGCACCTGCAATTCCGAGCCAAGTGTTCTTGGGCAAGTGGGTTACTCTCTCAGTGTCTCAGTTTCCTCATCTGTAAAGTGGGGATAATGATAGCTTCCACCTCTAGGATGAGCGTGAGACTGGAAAATAAATACATGCCAGGTGTTTAGTGCAGCCTGGCATACTACAAGCACTCAGTAAATTTCAGTGGCCATTGTGGGACATCTTGTGCCTGATACTGAGCCACATTTGGTGGCTTAGCTCTGAGGGTGGGTCCTGGAGACATTGCCCAGGTGGAATGCAGGCCCAGCCCCAGACTCCAGGCACGGGCAAAGGGCCACATGCAGTTCAATGGCCAGGGCAGTTCCAGATCACTGAGCTGGGGGAATCTGAGGGTTTTCATCTTGGCCGAGAAATCTGATAGAGAGATTCCAAGATCAGGGCTCCAGCCCCCCTGATGGGCCCTCTGTCCAGGACTGGCTGAGTCTCCAGTTGATCTGAGATTCTGGGCCTCGGGCCCCGGGAGGGCTCATAGGCATGGAGAGAGGGCTCCTCATCCCAGAAGGAGGATCAGGCCTGGGCACAGGAGAGCCGACTGTGCACGTAACTTTTCAATGTCACACTGGGAACTTGAAATTGACTAGGGTAGGATTTACAGTATGGAAACTGGCAAATGCTACATTTGTTTTTGAGAGTCGGTTTACCAACACACTACTGGGCACAGGAATCCCTAGTCCCGTAGCTCTCTAGACATCGTTCCTGAATTCAACACCCTTAAAACTTTTCTCACATCCTCCCAGTCTGCTCCCCGAATACACACTGCCTTTGCTTGATCAGTCATTTTCCTCAAGAAAGCCTTTCCAGGGCCAGGCATGGTGGCTCACCCCTGTAATCCCAACACTTTCGGAGGCAAAGGTGGGAGGATTGCTGAGGCCAGCAGTTTGAGACCAGCCTGAGCAACATAGCAGGACCTCATTACTACAGAAGATTTTAAAATTAGCCAGGTATAATGGCTTGCACCTGTAGTCTCAGCTACTCAGGAGGCTGAGGCAGGAGGATGGCTTGAACCCGGGAGTTCAAGGCTGCAGTGAGCTATGACAGTGTCACTGCACTCCAGCCTGGGCGACATGGTGAGACCTTGTCTCTTAAATAAATAGGCCAGGCATGGTGGCTTACACCTGTATTGCTAGCATTTTGAGAGGCTGAGGCAGGAGGATCACTTGAGCTCAGAAGTTTGAGATGAGCCTGGGCAGCATAGTGAGACCTCCATCTCTATTATAGAACTCTTTTTAATTAACTAAGTAAATAAGACTGGGCATGGTAGCTGTAATCCCAGCATTTTGGGAGGCTGAGGGGGCAAATCACTTGAGCCCAGGAGTTAAAGACCAGCCTGGGCAACATGGAGAAACCTCATCTCTACTAAAAATATAAAAATTAGCCAGACATGGGAGCGTGCATCTGTAATCCCAGCTACTTGGAAGGCTGAGGCACAAGAATTACTTGCAACTGGGAGGCAGAGGTTGCAGTGAGTGGAGATCATGCCAGTGCACTCCAGCCTGGCAACAGAGCAACACTCTGTCTCAAAAACAAGCAAATAAATAAGTAAAAATCCTCCCCATGGTTTATAAAGATGATAAGAGATGGGGGTGGCGGGAAGTAAATCGCAGACATAAGTGTAAATGAATACTGCATGGCTCTTTCAAAAATGTTCTCAAAGATTTAATGACAAGAAAATACGAAAAAAGCATAAATGTTGGCGGACAGATATATACAACCATGTACACAATATGAGTCTGATGCCATAAAACATTCTATGTATGTATATATAAGACCTTTTGTTGAACAAACGTGTATTGAGCACCTACTATGTACAAGTGGTGGGGATACAGTGAGGTTCAAGTGAGGGATAAGAGAGCCTCGCACTGCTCTCCTGGGACTCTCTCTCAGTGGAATAGGAAAGCAAACAAAAGTAACACAGCTCAGTAATAAACTCGCAGAGAGTAAAGAACGAGGCGAAGATGAGGGAGCAGGCATGAGGGCTACAGCTGGAGCTGGAGGGATTCCTTACACACAATGACATGTACTTGTTTTGTTTTCTTTTGAGATGGAGTCTTGCCCTGTCACCCAGGCTGGAGTACAGTAGCACGATCTCGGCTCGCTCTGCTGCAGCCTGGGTGACTGGAGTGATCTTGGATCACTGGGAGGCAGAGTGGCACCTCTGCCTTCCAAGTTCAAGTGATCCTCCCACGTCAGCCTTCCAAGTAGCTGGGATTACAGGCATGTGCCACCACACGCAGCTAATTTTTTGTATTTTTTTTCTTTTATTGAGACTGACTTTTGCTCTGTCGCCCAGGCCAGATTACAGTGGGGCAATCTTGGCTCACTGCAACCTCTGCCTCCTGGGTTCAAGCAATTCTCCTGCCTCAGCCTCCCAAGTAGCTGAGA